ATGCGCCGCTATAAACCCGGCTGGGGTTTTGCAGCAATTTCTTAGATGTAAAAATGAGATCTCAATAGCAGCGGGTTGGGCACATTCTCTCGCTCTTTCCCTTTCCCTGCCGGGAGCCAGCTTCCTTTTCTGGGCTGCAGGCTGCATCTCCAACCTCACCTAGGCCCGCAACCGCCACGAGATGGCGCACTTCCGATCAATGTCAAAGCCGCCAGGGAGCCGGGAACCCCAGCGAGATTCTTGGCCTTTGTTCGCTTGTGATACTAAGAGCAGCACGGTACGTTATTTCACTTGTCCGGCTCCCCTTCGTATTCAAAAAAAAGGGAGCCTCGCGCTCCAGAAGCGATTGGGATTGTGATTTAAAGCAAAGCGCCGTTGCTAGGCCTCTTCACATCGCGGCTTGGAGAAGCTGCTGCCCTTTGGCAGTGATTTCAGAAATGAGTCAAGGTAAGTGGCCACAAGTTTATCAGTTTCACTGTTGTAGAGGTGGGAGTGGGGACGCTGCTGATGGCTAAGCAAATGACTGAGCTTGTGGGGTGTTGCGCGTTTGCCTCCCCCCCCCCCCCCGCAAGCGCGCTCCCCATAGCTCTCTATGGTTGGAAAGCAGGGAGGCCTAAGTGGAAAAGTTGTCGGTTTTAGCTCCCTGCACCAAAATTTCACCCAAGCTTCTCACCCCAGGCGATCTTTCTATTTTGCTGAAATAGTCAGATCTGAATGCGGTAGGTATGGTCAGAACCCAGCGAATGAATCAGCTGTGCTGGAGTTAGGGCTGTTTGGAGAGCAAAGAGATGGTAGACTAAGAAAAGCAAAAGTTTCTCCTTGGAAACAATGGAGTGGTCAGCATCTGTGGCGGTTGGAGCGGGTTTATTCCTCGCGGCAGCCTGGCAGAGGTTACCGGTTTTCTCGTAGGTGCAGTCCAGAAGTCTGCCTAGCAAGCTAGAAATAAGCTTTCTTCCCCAAAAAGACCATTCAAAGAAGTCGTTTTTGATTTTTGTTTTTAGTGGGATTTTTAAAAAAAAAAATTTTTAAGGATGTTGTAGACAGCCCCTTACTGCATATTTGGAATGTGGCATTATAGACCTGGCTGACATTTTCCAATAAAATATCCTAGCTATTAAAACGAGGGGGGTTATTGTATATTTTGCAAATTATACAAAAAGCACATTGGTAAATATCATTCAATCTGTTTAAACGGCGTGGGGGATCAAGTATGATCCAGTAGGCATTTGCTCAAGACTTTCACAACAACAAGTTTTAAATAACCAAAAATGCTCGCACTTTGAAGGCTAGATTTAAATCTCTCGTTTCTCCCATATTTAAATTTTATTTTGACATATTTTCATTTCTTTCTCGAAATAGTTTCTTTCTTTCCCCATATATACCATACCATGGATGAGTAAAAAGAAGTTCAGAACAAATGCATGCTGTCCCTGTACACATGTGTGTGAGCAAAAGCCGTGCTTATGAACCGCTGGTCTTGTGAAGTGTGGGCTCCTAAGCCATGCCAAAAAAAAAAAAAAAAAAAAAAAAAAAAAAGCAACCCTGAGCAGAAACCAGGGCCCACTCTGTAAGCTGCAGTGGTTGGGAGCACTCCTGACCTGCCTCCAGTTTTAAGGCCAGAGCCATTTCCTTACCTTCAAAACTAAGAACACTGGCACTTCAAGATTACTGACAAAAGGCCCAGTACTCTCCCCCCCCCCCACTCTAAAGGGCAACGGCCAGCAATCTCGATGGTCTGATTTAGATGAAAAAGAAACATAAAAGTATTTTAAGCTAAGAAGAGATTGAACCTGGTAGACAAGAAAAGGAAAGGAAAAAGCCTACACATTAAACAGCCCTGGAAATGTCAACATTCTGTTCTTAAAGAGCAAGAAAAGAATGCTGCTTATGGGGAAAAATCTAGTTATTAATACATTATAAATGGGGGAGTTTCTGAAATTTTGTTAATGGTGGGCTGCTGAAGCTGCATTCATTTTTTTTCCGTGAAGCTGTAATCTAGCCTACAGCTCTCAGGATAATTTGGAACCCCAAACGCATTGAGAATGGCCTCCATATGCAAACTGATTTGTATTTCATTCTCGGGACCTAGAGGTTTGTTTTTTGTTTTTGTTTTTATTGTTGTTTGTTTTGTTTTATCCTAGTGAAAAACTCAATTTATTTTCATAATGAGAATTATTGGGGGGCTGGGGAGATGGCTCAGCTGTTACAGGCTAAGCTCACAAGCAAAAATATAAGAATGTATTTGAGGGTCTCGCAAGGGCCTACTCAGGAAGAGGAATTCGCTATCCAGTAAAATGCAGAGTAATCCCCCAAGCTGTCTTGGTTCATGTACCTGTCATTTCCTGTGTCTCCTTGGAGAGAATGGGTGTTATCACTAGGTAGAAATTGGCAGTATTTACTCCCGAACAAACACAGACTCCGGCGGTGGTGGCAGCAATGTGATTGCTGCACACGTCTGGTTAAGGACGGCAGGCACCAAGGGTTTTAGGTCAAAGGCATCTAGAAAAGGAAAAATGGAATTCAGCAGCCAAAATGAAGGGTACAGGGGAAAAGAAAGAAAAGGGAATCACTGTACTTAATCTCTTGGGGACGGCAAGTCTCCAGAAAGCCAAGGAGCTCAATAAACAGAGTATTTTTATTGAGGAGGCTAACACCTCATTGTTGTGGTCTAGGGAGAGACACTGGAGCCTTCAGGGTGGCTGAGGGATGCCTGGGACTCCAGACCAAGAAAGTCAAGCAGGCACTTACCCCGCCAGCTCCATTTAACTTGAATTTCTGAGCCATTGTATTTACTTTGAGACAACCACATCATTTCAGTTGGCCAGATACCCCACAGCGTCCCACAGTTAGGCTCTCCTCTTGTTCCTTTGCTAATCTAGTCTGTCAGAGAGGGGTTTCCATGAAGGCGCACAACACACAAGGAAAAAAGAAAGAAAGAGCTCACATTAAACACCCAGTTTGGTTTCTTGAAAGAGGGCAAGCTACTGTTGAGAACAACACATCTGTTTTCCACAGAGGCTGATGAAGATTCAAGTGCCAATGCCATGGTCTGTGAGGCTGGGAGCAGGCAATCTAATTCTTCCAACCTTTAGCAGAGATGGCCTTAATGTGCAGTACCAGAGCTGACATTTTAGCCTTGGTCAGCAATTACAGGCTTCTGGATCCCATTCAGCCTAGAAGCCCATTTGGCCATCATACAAGGCCTTGGCTAGTATGAGCCAGAGTGGCTTGTAGCTGGGCACCTGGATTGTTTGGCCAGACAAATAGTCAGGGGCTGCTGAGTCCCAGGAGAGTCCTGGATGCTCTGGAGAATTTGAAGAGAAGGCTTTATGGGTCTATGTACTCCTTCAAAGTGATGGGCCAAATCATGGGAATGCAGATTTGGGTTTTACATATGATAAAAGTCAGAACTACCCTTGGATTACTCAGAGAGCTCCCTGAAATCCTGAAAGGTTAAAAAAGATGCTGTATCTGTATCAATGTCTTTTTCTTTATTCTTGTATTCTCTGCTATCTCATATTCTCTCTCCAATGACCACTGGTCTTTTAAAAACCACATTCAGGGAAGCTCCTTTTTGCCTGAGATCCAGACAGGGCCAGCTGAGGGCTCTAGCCTTAGCCCACAAGACTGCTGGCCTGCTGGTGCTCCTTTTCCTCACAGAGGGAGCACTCAGTGCTCTTGGGAACTACTTCCCCATGTAACAGCTCTGCAGAGAGACATCTGGATCGCTAAAGATCAAAGTGACTTTCTTCAGGCAGCCCCAGCATCAGGGCATTTCCAGGTGATATGCTGAACACAAGAAAGAGTTCCACCTATCTGGTGAACAGAGTGGCGACCAAGCACATCCTGGAAAGCTAAGGTGGGACCACAAGCATCAGTGCTCTGAAGCTTTGCAGCATTTTGGCTCTCTGGTTCATTAGGCCTACCCAAATGAAAAATTGCCTTGGCCTTGGGTACAGAAGCAAAACAGATAGTTAATGATGCCTCACACAGACCCAGCTTTTATTTTCTGGAGTGGCTACTTTAGATTGAAAATTCCAGCTACAGAGAGCTGATGCTCATTTGTGTTGTTCATATTCTCTCTCTCTCTCTCTCTCTCTCTCTCTCTCTCTCTCTCTCTCTCTCTCTCTCTCTCTCTCCTTCCACCTCTCTTTCTCTCTCTACTCCTTTCTTTTGCATTCAGATGCTTAGCTACCCAGCCCTCCCAGACAGTCACCTTGGGGAGACAGAGGTAGAAGTGGCAAGGACGCCTTGCTAGTGTTAACAGAAGCATAGCTTCCTGGGCGCGGCTGGCTAAGCAGCTACAATCTCAGTTCCTTGAATCTCAGAAGCCAGAAGCTGGCCTCTAACCTAGCCCGGTCTCCTATGTGTTTTCACTCTCAGGATTGTTTTTGTCCAGTGACTGGATTCATTCTGGGAGGAACCAGAACATTACCATGTAAATGTAAGAGTCTTTCTCTGCCATTGGCAGAGGTCTGAGTAATGCAGTTCCTGGGGTCTGGGCAGTCAGTAACTCTCCTGTTCCAACTGGAGCTGGCAGGCCTAGGGTATCCTGGAGACCTCACAACCTTGTGGGTTACAGGTCAGGGGCAAAGCGTCAACTGCACAAGCTCCGCTGGATCCCGCCGGAAAAGGTCACATTTCCTGAGCTTGATACGAGGCACACACTTGGGGGTTAGCATGTCCCAGGCTGACCACTTTCAGTTGCTTAAGAAAGCACCCCGGAGTAGGACCCAGTATCTGCTAAGCAAAGCTCCTGGTCTCTAGAGTCTCTTAGAGCAAGGCCCAAACCTAGCTTAGCCGTCCAGGGAATGGATCGCCTCATCACCACCTTGTTAAAATGCGCACACTATACTGCAGAATGGCGGGAACAAGGACTGCCTTAGCCATATCTTTGGGGGTGGGGTGGGGGTGAGGGTGGGGACAGCAAGACAAGAGTGTAGTGACAGGTTTTGTCATAATCTCAAGGAACATAGGAATGCTAAGGCTTAAAGTAAAGCCGGAGAGAAAGCAGTGTGGCAGAGGTATTTCTTGGTAATATTCTTCCAAGATATAGTTCTCCCAGTGCAGAAAGGCCAGAGACCCAAGGCCGACAATCTAGTCCCCCAAAGGAAGTGAGTTTGGGTCTCCTCTGGATGACTGCAGTGTGTATGCATTGACTCTGAACCGAGGGTAGTGGGAAGTCTTCTGTTAGAGTTGCCAGACTGTTGATTTTCACCTCACTAAGGCAGCTATGCAAGGTTGGATGACAGAAATAGAGAGCATGACCCGACTGAGCATAGTGAAGGAGAAAAGTCTTAACGGTCGGTCGGTCGGTCGAAGGATGGAGTAGGAAAGTCGCTGGGACTGAGGAGTCAGGCAGCGATCAGCCAGTGAATTTCAGACAGTGTTCTTTGTGCGAAGTGGTACCAGCCAGCTTCCAGTTCACTGTGGATCCTGGACACTCCGAGGGTCTTGACAGCCTTAGGACCACGCTAGCCACTTTGGGAAGCCAAATTTAAGAGCTAGGACCAGTTCCAGGTCCAGGAATGAATAGAATGGGGAGACTGCGACAGGGTTTGCCTAAATGATCAAGGGACGACAGGGACTCGTGGCTGCTGCACGGCAGACAAGGGAGCACCTGAAGATGGCTGGGGTGCACATCATAAACACCCCACTTGTTAACAGCGCAGGGCCCAAGGGCGCTTCCAAATATATCTTTGCTGGGGGATGGGGTTTTGCGGGCTCAAGAACCAGATTCCCCGGACTGCCACTTTGAGGCAGCTCCCACAGTTCTGGCCTTCGGGCCATAGGTGTCAGACGTACGTCTTCTGGCCCATCAATACAGATTACATATTTATATCAATCGCGGGCTCCGAGGGCGCCCTCGGAGAGCGGCCCCGCGCCTACGAAACCAAACTGGGAGTGGTCGCGTGGAAACTCTTGCTCGGGATTGGCTGCGGGCGCCCGCCGCGGTGCGGGGGGATTGCTAATCGTATTCAGCATGTTTTGCACAAGAAATGTCAGCCAGAAAGGGCTATCTGCTCCCTTCGCCAAATTATCCCACAACAATGTCATGCTCGGAGAGCCCTGCCGCGAACTCTTTTTTGGTCGACTCGCTCATCAGCTCGGCCAGAGGCGAGGCGGGTGGCGGTGGCGGTAGCGTTGGTGGCGGCGGAGGCGGCTACTATGCCCACAGCGGGGTCTACCTGCCGCCCGCCAGCGACCTGCCTTATGGGCTGCAAAGCTGCGGGCTTTTCCCCGCGCTGGGCAGCAAGCGCAATGAAGCGCCATCGCCCGGAGGAGGTGGTGGTGGTGGCAGCGGGGGCCTGGGTCCCGGGACGCATGGCTACGCGCCCGCGCCCCTAGACCTGTGGCTGGATGCGCCCCGCTCCTGCCGGATGGAGCCTCCTGACGGGCCGCAGCCGCCACCGCAGCCACAACCCCAGCAGCAGCAGCAGCCGCCCCCGCCGCAGCCACCCCAGCCCCCGCCACAGGCCACTTCGTGTTCTTTTGCGCAGAACATCAAAGAAGAGAGCTCCTACTGCCTCTACGATTCTGCGGACAAATGCCCCAAAGGCTCGGCCGCCGCCGACCTGGCCCCTTTCCCGCGGGGCCCGCCGCCCGACGGCTGCACCCTGGGCGCCTCCAGCGGAGTGCCAGTGCCGGGCTACTTCCGCCTGTCCCAGGCCTACGGCACGGCCAAGGGCTTCGGCGGCGGCGGTGGCGGCGGCGGCGGTACGCAGCAGCTCGCCAGTCCCTTCCCTGCGCAGCCCCCGGGGCGCGGCTTCGACCCTCCGCCCGCACTGGCCTCGACTTCGGCCGAGGCAGCCGGGAAGGAGCGAGCCCTAGACTCCACGCCGCCACCCACGCTGGTTTGCGCCGGTGGTGGCGGCGGCGGCGGCTCGCAGGGCGACGAGGAGGCGCACGCGTCATCCTCGGCGGCTGAGGAGCTGTCCCCGGCCCCCTCTGAAAACAGTAAAGCCTCGCCGGAGAAGGACTCCCTGGGTAAGCAGAGCGCAACCGAGGGCTCAAGTCAGGCGGGCAGACAGACAGACCCACATGGAAGGAGCAGAGGACCAGGAGCCCGCGCGGCAGCCGCAGGCCTTGGCCCAAGCTTAAGGCAGGCTGACCTTCTGAACTTGTTTTTAATATTTGGGCGTGGGGACGCTGTAAAAATCCATGTCCGGCTTAGTGCCCCACACCAAGACGTCCTTAGCGCTGGCCCCAGCTCACCCAGACTCGGGGGATGAGGACACCAGTGAGCAGCCCTCCTCCTGTGCATGCACTTTCTTGTGGCCCCGAGAACCCCCAAGCCCTGGTCCCCAGCCCAGCCTGCTCAGCGCGGCCCACGCGGGGGGGGAGGGGCAGGGAGGGAAAAGTGGCTCGTCTGCAGATAGCACGGATGTTTGTAAGGCATCCAAAATAAGCAGCCGCCAGCGCTAATAAATAAGCCCATTAACCGGCGAAGTTCGAGTTTACGATCCCCCATGCCTTTTTCAAAGTTCCTGGAGGGGCGGGAATCCTTGCTGCAAGAAGCAGAAAAGGCAAATCCCCGCCCGGACGCCTGGGCCCTGAATTGAAAACCTCGGAGTGGCCATTTCCCTTCTCTTGGAATTCGGTGTCGCCTAGCTGCACACCCCAGTTTCTTGGAGAGACAGGGGCGGAACAGCCCTTGACCCTAGGATCGGTTTTTCAGGACTTCCCTACGGGCCCAACTATGTCCTTCTCTGACCTAGAGCAATCTAAGGGGCTGGGGTAAGCCAGGGTTCTAGTCCGAATAAGCATCCCTTGCCCCCAGTGTGGGGGCCCGCAGGAAATGCTTCCCTGCCACTGGGTGAGAGGCAGAGAAAGGCGTTAAGTTCAAGATGTACGGCCTCGCCTACTCCGGCCTTTCATTCTCCAAGCGCCCCGCAGCGTGGTGCTAAAACAGGTGCCTGGAAAAAAAAGTAGAGGAAAATGTAAATTGGGAGGACCGGGTGTGGATTTGAGGCCCACTCGGTTTTGTCATGCCTTTTGGAGGAATTTCTTGTTCTCCGAAAGTCAAAGGAGGGCATAACCCTCTCTCTATGACTTCGGGCATCCCTCTAAAGGGAAAGACCCAGAATTCACCCCCCTCGCACAGCCTGAGTGGCCTCGACTTAACCTTCCCCTCTGTGTTCTCTTAAACTCCAGGCAATTCCAAAGGCGAAAATGCAGCCAACTGGCTCACGGCAAAGAGCGGCCGGAAGAAACGCTGTCCCTACACGAAGCACCAGACGCTGGAACTAGAGAAGGAGTTTCTATTCAACATGTACCTTACTCGAGAGCGGCGCCTAGAGATCAGCCGTAGCGTCCACCTCACGGACAGACAAGTGAAAATCTGGTTTCAGAATCGCAGGATGAAACTGAAGAAAATGAACCGAGAAAACCGAATCCGGGAGCTCACAGCCAACTTTAATTTTTCCTGATGAAACCTCCAGGCAACGCCCGTGTTTTCGCTTCCAGAGCGCCTGTACCCCTCCTTCTGCCTCCAGCCTCTGCCCCAGAACCCGCACCTGTGCCGGAGCCCCATTAACTCCCTTCACCTCCCAGGCCGCTTCGTCTGTGCAGGGCTGGTTCGTTCTGACTTTTTGTTTCTTTGTCTGTTTGCTCGGTGTTGGTTTACTTGTTTTCTGGGGGAAAAAGCCATATCGCTAAAATTCTATAGAGAATGAGATTGTCTTCACTGTCAAGTCCTGACTGGGCTGGGTTCGCTGCCTCGGGGTTCCCAGGACTCCTACCCGGATCTGGTTTCCTGCCCAGCCCTGGGTAAACTTAGCCGGAAGCCCTAGGTTCCATTGTCGGCGCTGAGGTGTCTGGCCTGAGGTCAATGGTGCCGGGAGCCGCCCCCGGGTTCGCCAGCCTGGAGTGCTGGGCTGTGTTTAATCAGGGAGTACAGGCCTGATTTCTCTCTTCTTCCTTCTTTTCTTCCTTGGCCAGGAATAGAGTATCGAAACATGGATATGCAGGTTAGCTAAAGGGCTTGACCTGGCTGATAGAGAAAAAAATGAGAAAGAAATAATCAGAAAGATTAGTTTTTCCTTCCTCAGTAAGATCTCCCAGCTTTAAGTGAAAATAAAAATGGCCAAGAGAAGAAACCTTCTCCTCCCGTTTGCCTAAGGTCTTGCTTGCCTGACTCAAACCCTTCATTTTCCTTTGAATTTCCATACGCTGACTGTTGGTAAATAATGTAGGTTTGTTTATACATATGGAATTAGTGGATTTTTGCCATTAAAATGGTTACCATTTGGTAACACTCGAAAAGCACACCACGATTCTCCCTATTTTATGGAGTTGGGGTTTTTTTTTCTTGTTTTGCTTTAATTCACTTTTTTTGTTTCGTAGGCTTTCTGAAATTCATGGAAGCCTAGGTGGGCTGGGGCGAACAGATGAGAGAAGGGAGACATTGTTTGGATTTCCTTTATACTGTGAAGTTACATGCATAAAAGGGTCAAACCTGTAGGTGCAGAAAAAGAAAAAAAAACTATAAGTACAAATCTGTATAAATGTCTATTATTATGAAAAATTGCCAATCTTGTTTAAGCAAATGCATTCTATCGTTATTATAAATGTTAGTTCTAGCTTTATTTACTTCAAATCTTAAATCAGAATAAATTAATATTGTATTGCTGCTGTGCGTGGAAAAGATGATGTTTATGTTCCTATAGAATAAAAGCTGTGGAATGAAGTTTTTTAATTTTACCTCTTTTTTGACTTCTTATCTTCACCTTCCACTCTATCCTGTCCACCACTTTTACAACAGGAGGGCTAGCCCGAGCCCCCTGCAATTACTTTAGGCATCTATTTAAATATTACCTAGACGGTCGTAATTTGTCTGGGCCCTATAGCCCTGGTGCCTTAAGGGTTGTCGGCTTTTGTTCAGTTTTATGACTTGCTAGTATATCTGGATTGTGGCTGTCTTGGACCAGTGGTTTCAGTTGAGAGGAGAGCTGCATAGACAGAGGACGCTAAACAGGATTTCTTTCGGGAGCCCCAGAGAGACTCACAGAGGCCAGTATTTTGCGGGTGTCCAGGTCCCAGAAGACCCCACGCCCTAAATCGCCCTAAACCCGCGGTGGAGGGTCCACTCACCACAGAGCACCACTAGTGGCTGGGGCAGCGGTTAAGTGGACCGGGGCCGAGCCGTCCAGGGTCACCCCCTCCCCCTCCCAGGCCTCCCCCCACCTGGCGGCCCTCCGCTAGGCCACGCGTTTCCTGCTCGCCGGAGGTGGGGGGAGCGACACTGGTGGGGGGGGGAGGGTCGCGGGAGCGCGCGCCTCAGCGGGCGGGCTGCTAGGAGGGAGATGGGGGGGGGAGGGCGAGCGGCTGCTGGGAGCAAGTCGAAGAGGCCTGGCCAGACACAGGACCCGGCTCGAGGCTGTCCCCTGCGCTTTCGGATCGTCCGGGGCGACTGCCGCCCGGCTCTGCTTCGCGAAGCTGCGGGATCTGGGGAACCCTGGCCTCGCCGCTGGGCCTCCCCTCTCTTCTCGCCTCCCCCTTTGCTTCTCCCTCCCCCTTTGGCGTTCTCCCTTCTCCCCTTTACTCCTCCATTCTCCTGGGCGTACCTTCCCGGGCACTGGTGGCCTCTTCTCCACCACGAGTGTAGGGCAGCGGCTGGCGCAGGTTTGGGAGGGTTGGTCTGGGCGCGATCGCAGGTCTCTTAGCGGCGACGGTGGCGGCAGCGGAGGCGGCAGCGGCAGCGGGCGAGGCAGCCCGGCGCCGGCAGCTACAGAACTGGTCGGTGATTTAGGTAGTTTCCTGTTGTTGGGATCCACCTTTCTCTCGACAGCACGACACTGCCTTCATTACTTCAGTTGAAAGCGTCTCCAGGTACCAGCCGCGGTAGCCAGGCGGACCGACCATCCAGGCCCTAATCGTGCCAGGCCTGCGGTGGCAACCACGGATCCCCAACGCAGGAGGTCCTCGGCGTTGTGCCATCCAACCCGCCTCACGCTTTCCGCCCCGCACCAGGCCCGGGGCAGGTATGGTCAGGTTAGGGGCTGATTCCGGGGGCGTGGTAAGAATTCTGGGCCCCGGGCCATTCAAGGTCAGGGGCGCTCTCTTGCAGCCTAAGCACACTACTGTAGACCTGCGCCTGTCTGGGGCTCTGCCGTTCTCCAGCGAGGCTGGGCTGGAACCCGTATTCACCACTCACTGTGATCCTGCCTTGAGCTGAAGGAAAATTCGTTCTCCAGTAGAGCCCCAGGCTGAGTCGGGGCCTGCCAGGGCTGGTAGCCTGGCCTTGTTGCTCACCTTTCCTTCTGCGAGCGCGCCCTCTGCTCCCCAGTCGCCCACCACGGTCCATCCTCTTTCCTTCTTTCTTTCTTTCTTTCTTTCTTTCTTTCTTTCTTTCTTTCTTTCTTTCTTATCCCTTTCTTTTCCTGTCCGTTGTTTCTTTTTTTTCTTTTTCTTGCATCTTCCTTTCTTTTTTCCTGTCCATTTCTCCGTCTCTCCATTTCCTTTTTTCTTGTATCTCTCTTTTTTTCTGATGGCTTGGAGAATGCTTGGCGCTTTTATTTTTTCCTCGGTGCACAGGTTTGAGGGTGCCGAGGAAGAGGTGCATAAGGGAGGCTGTTTAGGTCGGTGGTTTTCGGCCTGGTGGGCCTCTCTGCGCAGACAAGGCCTCGGTTACGATCACGACCGGATGGCGGCGGCCTTGCGTTAGCCGCTGCCTGAGAGATCCGCTGAGGGGGCACCCGCGGCGTCTTTGTGTGCCCGCACCGAGGGCAGGGTTCGGAAGCTGCAGTTAGAGTTGAAGCCCAGCCTGGGCTCGGTGGAGTCTGGCTGTCTAGAGAGCTCCAGCAGGAAGCTTCAGGCGGCCTGTGCCAGCTTTACCGGTCCTAACTCGGGCTTTGACCGTGATGAAGGAGCCTCGCTGGGGACAAGGCTCGGCTGTTGGCTGGCTTGCCAGCTGTAGCAGATCCAGAAAATGTTAGCCTCGTGTCCCCCCTCCCCTCCGTGCAGCTGGGTGTTTGAGAAGGGGGACTTTCCCAGCTCCAATATATTTTAAATGAGCGAAAACAATGCCAAATTCAAGAACTAAGAGGGCACAAACTTGAGTGTTGGTTTTAAATTGTAATCTATGAAAGCCACCCTAACCACTCTCAACACAGAAAACTTAAAACAAACTATCCTTCCCCCTACAACACTGCCCTGAGACCACAGATCTCTTGTTTTCCTTCCCAGCTCAGGCTGGGAATTGCTTTCATTGCTCAGGCCAACAACCTGTTATCTGAAAGACCAGCACACCCGGTTCTCTCCACCTCCTCTCTGCCCTTTTCTGGGTCATAGTATTGGATTTATTTTCAGAGGCCAAGGTTTTAGGAAGATTCTCAGTTGAGAATGCAGAGGTTTGTGATTATACCCATTTTTTTGTTTCTAGATGTGCATACAACCCTTTTCACGTCCAAAAGAAAGCAGGAATAAAAAGCTGAATCCGATCTCTGGGCTCACAAAAACAATATCTGCTTTGGGGAATTTCCCCCCCTTCTGCCCACCAGTAAACAGAAGCTTAATACTCAATGCCTACTGCTTATTTTGTAATTCTTCTGTTTGGAGACTAGTGTTGTTTTAAAAAACTATTTTAATGAATAATAATAACAATAATCCATGTCATCTCTGAGTAAAAAAATAGTGAAAAGGGCAGCCAGACATGCTTTGCCACTTACAGACAATTACTATTAAGAGCAGAGTTATACTCCAGGATTTTTTCTTAAATGAAAATCTGAACCTCAGAGGACTGTGGATATTTAGAACACCTTGGGTTATGCTGGGGGAGGGTGGGGGGGATTGACTTGGAGGAATTTTCAGGGAAAGGAAAATATTAGGGGGGAGGTGACTGAGGCCACATCCAGTCCCTGGTGTTGGTCACTTTTCTTCTTCCTGCTGACAAGCCAAGAAGGGGTTTGTGTTCCCGGAGTTTCACAGCCTTCCCCTGAGATTAGAGCCTAATATCACAGGGATTCCTGTCTTCTGTGATAGGAATGTGTTAGTGTTAGAAGGGTTTGCTTGAACTGTTTGTGAGGAAGAAGGCAGAGACTAAAGATGGGAGTGTCTGGGGCCAGCAGTTGTACTGATGGTGAAGGGAAATAATGAGAAACATGCTCGTGGAAGGCGCAGGATTCACACGTGAACTTAATTACAGTTCCTAGGAGTTGTTACTTTGTGTTCTGAGCTGGGATGGGGTCACCCCCACACACAGACACACAATTAACAATAGTGGCTGTGGCCTTTTTACTTTCTGCCATCCCCAAAGACTCTAAGGGGTGAGAAATACCATCTTCTATTTGACCAAGGGATAGGATTAAAGTCAATGTCCCCTGCTCCTCCCCGGTTAATCTGTAGCACTGGACTTGAGCGGTAACCGCCCAGTTTTGGGGATCTCTGTTGCTCTGTTTTGGGGATAACCAGGCAGTGGTGTTGGAGTTAGGAAGGAAGGAAAAGGGGAAGGACGGGAGGAGGAAGGGAAGGAAGGGAAGTGGGGTGGGAGAGAAAGGAACAGGGAAGGACCCCAGAGGGGCTCACACTGGGCCTGGATAGGGCCACTATAAATGTCTCTTTTAGGATAGGTTGCCCTTTAGCAGGACAAACTCTCTTGGCACCAGTGTTTTCCCCCAGCTCGGGCCGGGGCGAGGGCTTTACAGATGATGGAGCTGGGAACCGGGTCGCTGGCTGAGGACTCAAATTCGCTGAACCGCCTGTGTTCAAAGTCGTGGGCCAGGGCCCAGGCGGCGCTTGGCTTGTGACACAATTAGGTCCTCAAACCCTTGAGGGCAGCTGGCAGTTCCCTCCTTGGCGGTTCCTCTGTGGAGCCTTTCCTTGTGGAGCAAGGACTATGTGGTTGTACCATCGAAGGGATGGTGTGTCGCAGCCGGGGAGGTGGCCAGGCTGTTTGAGGTGGAAAGAGCCTTGTATTTGACTTTTTCGAGGGAGGCTTGGGGGGAATCTCGCATCTCCGAGGACCTAAAGGATTATTTACAGGGTGCTCACCAACCAAACACAACAGTCTAATTTAACCTTTGCAAGTCCTCGTAAATTTTTACAGAGAGCTGCAGCGAGGCAAAAGAATCTGTTGGTCGTTGCTGACTTCCTACCAGCCTGTGTGGCTTCCGAAACAATAACTCCTTATGAAATATCATAAATATAGATTTAAATACAGTAGAGTGAGAATGCGATTTGGCTGCTTTTTATGGCTTCAATTATTGTCTAATTTTATGTGAGGGGCTCTGCTGGCCGCACTCGCACGCGGGACCCGCGCCTTCCTGATGGCGTGATTAATTGTGATATAAAATAGTCCGCTTAAGAAGTGTGTGTGTGTGTGTGTGTGTGTGTGTGTGTGTGTGTGTGTAGAGGGGGCTGGCAAGGAAGAGTACAGAGGCAAGGCCAGATTTGATCTTTTAATCTTCGTTGGCCACAATTAAAACAAACCAGATCGTGGAGCGGCGCGATCCCTTTGCATAAAAACATATGGCTTTTGCTATAAAAATTATGACTGCAAAACACCGGGCCATTAATAGCGTGCGGAGTGATTTACGCGTTATTGTTCTGCTGGGCGGACACGTGACGCGCGTGGCCAATGGGGGCGCAGACGCCGGCAACTTATTAGGTGACTGTACTTCACCCCCCCCTGGTGCCACCAAGTTGTTACATGAAATCTGCAGTTTCATAATTTCGGCGGGTCGGGTTGGGCCGGCCAGGCGCGGGCTACTGCGATGGCTACCACCGGGGCCCTGGGCAACTACTATGTGGACTCCTTCCTGCTGGGCGCCGACTCTGCCGAGGAGCTGGGCGCTGGACGCTATGCGCCAGGGGCCCTGGGCCAACCCCCGAGGCAGGCGGCGGCGCTGGCCGAACACCCCGACTTTAGCCCTTGCAGCTTCCAGTCCAAGACGGCGGTGTTCGGTGCCTCGTGGAACCCGGTGCACGCGGCGGGCGCCAATGCGGTGCCTGCGGCTGTGTACCACCACCACCACCACCCCTACGTGCACCCCCAGGCGCCCGTGGCCGCGGCAGCGCCGGACGGCAGGTACATGCGCTCCTGGCTGGAGCCCACGCCCGCTGCGCTCTCCTTCGCGGGCTTGCCCTCCAGCCGGCCTTATGGCATTAAACCTGAACCGCTGTCGGCCAGAAGGGGTGACTGTCCCACGCTTGACACCCACACTTTGTCCCTGACTGACTATGCTTGTGGTTCTCCTCCAGTTGATAGAGAAAAACAACCCAGCGAAGGCGCCTTCTCCGAAAACAATGCCGAGAATGAGAGCGGCGGAGACAAGCCCCCCATCGATCCCAGTAAGTGTCTCCTCCCTGCAAGCCGGCCGCTGCCTCCACGCCGGCCACCGGGATCTCTACCAGCGCGTCGACTTTCTCTCGGGCCTGCCTTCGTCCTCGATGGGAGCTTCTGGATCTGGGGTCGAGAACCAGAAGTTGGTGTTTGGAACACCTCGGATGTGGGCCCCTAGTGCAGAGAACTGTTTGGAGCAGGCCGGGCCGGCTGAGGGAAGGGGAGGAGGATGTTGCCGCAAGAGGGGGCGGGGCGGGCGCAGAGAACAGAGCCGGGATCCGCCGCCCCTCTGCTGATCTACCCTGGCCCGGGACACACAGACTTTGGGCTGTTCTTCGAAAGTAGCCCGGAGAAGTCTTTTGTGCGGCTGGATCGTTCACTAACTGCCGGCGGCGGCCACAACGTCAGCCGGGCAACCTGACCCGGGACGCTCGGGGAGACCCGTGATTCCCTCCACTTCTGGCTTTCGGGCGGCCGGTGGCTGCGTAAACCCTGCCCAAGAGGAGGCTGAGGGCTCTGGAGCCAGATTTATTCAAATAAAGTAGAGACCCGATCAAAGGCCTTGAGGCATCCTGCCTCCCGCCTGGCTCCCACGGCCTTCCGGGAAGGTCAAACAGAGTGGGGGCAGTGGCAGAGAGAAGCCGGGGAAGGGGAGACAGCGATGAGAGAGAGAGGGGGGGAGAGAGAGAGAGAGAGAGAGAGAGAGAGAGAGAGAGAGAGAGAGAGAGAGAGAGAGAGAGAGAATATTCTTGTTCCTCTTGTCGCATGAGCACAGAGCAGCCCGCTCTTTGCTTTTTTGCTTTGCTGGCAAAAAGAATATATTTCCACATTTCACTCTTACACAATGTGCAGACTATAGGAGGAAGGAGAGCGGGGGCCGGAGAGAGAGGGGGTGGAGATGGGAGGGGTGCTGTTGTAAGTGGCCCTCCTCCGTGCGTCTGTCTGCCAGGGCTTCATTGTGTTTTCTCTAACAAATTCAGCAGCGTCCTGCACTTCGGCCAGAGCCGGCCCCCCCCCCGTCCCCCCAAGAGTCAACTTCACACCCATCCAGGATGCTTCTTCTTCTAAACGCCGTGTCTCTCTCCCCCGCAGATAACCCGGCTGCCAACTGGCTTCATGCTCGCTCCACGCGGAAGAAGCGCTGCCCCTACACAAAACATCAGACGTTGGAACTGGAGAAAGAGTTTCTGTTCAACATGTACCTCACACGGGACCGCAGGTACGAGGTGGCCCGGCTGCTCAACCTCACCGAGAGGCAGGTCAAGATCTGGTTCCAGAACCGCAGGATGAAAATGAAGAAAATCAATAAGGACCGAGCAAAGGACGAATGAGCTGGTCAGGGCTCATTTGGAAAAGAGCAAGCTAGAAAGAAGAAAAAGAAAGGACTGTCCCCCCTCTTCCTCCACTCCCCCAGCCCCAGCCTCCACTACCCGCCCAAAGTGGCTCTAAACCCCGGGCCTCATCTCTGCCTGGCAGTCCCTGCTCAGGCTGGCTCCTAGGCCTGCGGCTTTATTGGAGGAGGTATTGTAAGCTTTCCATTTTCTACAAGACACACACACAAGGGAGGGCATTAGCGCTGATGGCTGTATGTGCTTGCTTGTATATATATTTAAAAAGAAACCTACCTGCTTCTGACTTAAAGCAAAAGGGAAAAAAAACTACCTTTTTATATATAATGCACAACTGTTGACGGGCTGTATAGTTTTTAGTCTCTGTAGTTAATTTAATTCGCTCTTCGTGTGGCAGATCACTCTGCTAAAATACTTGAACACTGTGTTTTATTGTGGTAATTATGTTTTGTGACTCAAACTTCTGTGCTGGGTGAAGCACCCATTGTGATTGTGGAAGCTAGAATTCAATTTGAACTCAGGTTGTTTATGGGGGGAGATAAGCTGTTGCATAGAGTATAGCTCTGTAGTGGAATACTGTGTAACTAGACTGTCAGCCTACGATTGTAAACTAGCTGTAAGGATTTCCCAGTGAAATCACACTTGGAAAGAAAAGGGAGGTAGTTCTCCAGGATACATAGATTCATGATTTCTCTACTTTTGAAATGTAGGCATCTTCATCTTTACATACTCTAGACTCCAGTCTTGTCCAGTGTATATAGCATCTCCATATTAAAGAAATATTCATAATCAAACAAGCTTGAAGATTGTTTTTGCACCAGAGGAGAAGTGAGGAAATTCGGAGCTATACATATGTGCAGAGGGTTACTACCTATGGTTTATGCTTAATTTTAATTGGGAGACATGAGTGCTTATTGTAATGGAGTTAATTTTATTGATAATAAACTATACACCAAGAAACCGCCATTGGGCTACTGTAGATTTGTATCCTTGATGAATTTGGGGTTCCCATCTGACTGAGCATACACTGTATATTTTGCAATAGTTACCTCAAGGCCTACTGACCAAATTGTTGTGTTGAGATATTTAACTTTTGCCAAATAAAATATATTGATTCTTCTACTTTGTGCGGGTCTGCTCTTTGCCCCTTTTTTTCCTGGGTATATTATCTGGGTGGGGGCTGGGCTGAAGTGAAGGGGAAAGAGCCCCATTCCGTCTTCAGCAAGGTGCTGGAGCCAGCGTCTGTGGAAACCAGTCGGGTCAGGCCTAATCACTCCGGTGGAAGCAGGGGCGGAAAGCTGGGGAGGCCTTGTGTCTGAGCTCCTGGACAGAAGCACCGGGCACCGGTGGCCAGCAGCGGTGGGAGAAAAGCCGTTCTTTCATCCCGGTGCCTCAAAAAATTTCCCCAAACATGGACCCACCCAAAGGGCTGGGGCCTTTGGAAGTGGGGTGGTCGAGCTGAGGGGTGCAGGGCCAGACGCCGAGGGCCTGTGGCCAGCTAAGGAGGCTGAGGAGACAGACAACAGCCAGAGGTGAACAATGAGGGGGCTCCTTCAAATGTTTAGGGCTTTTGGGGAGATGGAAAAGCTGCACCCACTGGGTCCTGCCAACCGGCCCGGGTGGGTTGGAGGGCGGGGGCCAACATCCTACACTGCCTAGCCTCCTCCGGAGCTTGCACTGCTAAGCACCTCCGGAGCTTACAGCCCCACAGAAGCACGCCTTAGCAGGCGGCAAGCCCCGAAGCGCCATAAAAGAAAATGAGGGCTGTTACCCTTTATGGGGTGTAAAGGGCTGCGTTGGGGGTACGGGTACAACTTCGGAGGCTCAAGCGCCTTCCAGATGGAGCCAGAGGATGCTGCTTTGCTCCCCCCACACCCACACACACAACTCCTTTGCTTCACCCTCCTCCCCTGCAATGCTCTTTTCTAAGGAGGGAAAGGGGGACCAGGGTGTGGGGCGGATGGGGCGCCCCCACCCCCAATGCGCCGCCAGGTTGGCACGCCCTCTGTTGTTGCAGACAGAAAGAACTTCAAAGCCTGGGCAGTGAGGGTGTGCCATAAAGGAAGGTCTGCGAACTGTCTGGAATTCGGCTCTTAATGAGTTTACAACTGTCCAGCTCCAATTAGGGTATCCCACCAAAACCCTTTCATTTGTTTGCTCTGTCTGCCGCCGATAAAGAGACTGCGGAAACAGCCCTCTTTTATGGGCGCTGCCCCTTCAGCAGCGCGGATTCCCGGCTCCCTGAGGATCCCCGGGGACAGGGTCCTTGCTCCGCCTATGGGAGTGGGACGCCGGTCGGGTCACCGGTGTGGCCGAAGTTCACGCGGGCCAGAGCAGCTGCGGCTGCAGTGCCCAGAGCAATCCAGGAGATGGCAGTGTGGCTCCACGCAAGAGACACTCCCGCCGCCATCTCCAGCCGCCGCGACCTAGGAAAGCTCCTAAAATGTCGACTTGAAGCGCGCCTTTCTGGAATGGGATCTGCGGGAACAGCAGTCGTATATTTTCCCTGCCGCTCATGCCAACCTGAAAGCCTCCCAGAGACACAAGCATGCGCCAGGGCTTGCCTGACCGTCGGTGCTCGCTCCTCCCAGCCCCCATTCCGAGACCGCTGTGTTGCATGGTGGCAGCAGCGGTGCGGGTGCGGATGGACGGTGCGGGTGCGGATGGACGGTGCGGGGCCGCGGCTCAGAGAGCTGGTTCTATTCCAGGGTCACGGTACTCATCACAGCAGTGATCTAGGGGCAGCGAGGCGCTCGGGGACGGTCATTCACGACAGAACGACAAGGGGACGGACACCTACAGCCCTAGGACCAGATGACCCCACAAAGAATGCAGCCGGTGGCCATGGGTCCCGCCGACCCTCGAGGCCCCGGAACCTGAGACCTTTTTTTAGGGACCGGTACCGGACCTAGCGAGCCAGCACCAGAAAGACAGAGAAAGCCCAGACGTCAGGACTCGGCCCGTTGGAATGCCTGAATTTAAAATTAGGCGGCTGAAAATGGGTTAGTTATAAAATCATATTTGGTGGCTGTCTAGCGTAGATCTGCCGTGAATTTGGCCGCACTGGGGTAACTCAGGGCATAGACTAGGAACTGTTAGGTCATTCGAAAACAAATGATACATTTAAATAAGTAGAATAACACCCTAACTCCAGGATTGGCGTTCACGCGGTTGAAGTCACTCTTGCTTCTTTGACAGAGGTATGAAATGCCAAGGCTACTCTGGCGTCGCCGGCTGTGGAGGCAAGAAGCAAAAATCCCCACTCACTCCCAGCCCACATTTAATGCTAGAGGGGGACAAAGCCCAGAGCAAACGCGGCCCAGTGTGGGATGGTTTCGGAAAGAAAACACAGGAGCGAACACAGAACCAACCCTTGGAAGCGCTGCGAATAAAGGCTGTGCTGTGCATTTATTTGGGTCGTAATAGTCTCGGCCAAGCCCACAAAATGTTTATGACTCGCATCTCCGTGCTGAACACGCTGTAAAACTAGGGACTCGATTTTGGCTGACATCTCTCCTGGGTCTCCGTCTCTCTCTCCCTCCTACTCTCTTTTAAAAATCTTCCTATATACACGTGGGCATTACAGACACACATCATCATTATATTTTCGTATGTAACACACGCTACTTCGCAGCCTCTGCTTGTAGGAAGGGTTTTATAGCTTCCTGGAGAGTTACCGGTGCTCGCCTATCCTAATCCTCAGAAATTACTCTTTATGTAACTGCACATAATCAGAGAAATCGCTGACCGGTGGACACAAATAGAAAGCTCCTTTTTGCTAACAATGGAAGTCACAGGTTGGCGGCACCCATTTTCTGCACCGATCACAGAGGTCCCAGGTAGGTGCGGGCCTCCAGGAGCTCAGAGGCCTGGTGAACTGCCTAGGCAGCCAGGATCCCTTGCCCTTGGCCGAGTGGCGGCCGACTGGCAGGCTGCTCTCTGGTCTTCGTTGCTTGAGAGGCTTCGCTCAGACAAGACCCGGCAAGAAACTGAGCTCATTTATTCACTCCGGGCAGGAATTGGTATCGGCATCCAAGCTCGAAACCTCTCACATGTGGGGGACAGAAGCTGAAATCGGCAGCCTCTGCAGGGAAAGAGGATAGAAACATTTAAAGACCCCAAACCCGGGATCAATGAACTCTCAAGAAGTGCTGCCAAGGGTTGGGTTAACATTCTAAATCTAGATTTAAATATTGAAGACTATTTGGCACGGGAAGCATAGGAAACACACTCTGACAGTAGGTTTGAAAGCATTGAGAAATATTTAGATAGTTCTGCAGATTAAAAACTGGTTTATAAGGCATCTTCTCCAGGGCCTGGGTTAAATACTATGTGAATCTTATGCATAACAGATACATTTCTGTCAAATAAGTAGGGAACCAATGGCCAAAGAACATAATTAAATAGGCCTTATTGAGAGTTCGATTTTGTTCAGAATTTTGTGTTGTGAAGTCTAGCCAGGGAAGAAAAACCCAGAAACGAAGGGAAAGGTTTTCGGTGACCTCGGGGACCCTGCTCAGTTGGAAGACTTGGGCCCAGAAATGCCCAAACCTGGAAAGCAGCAGAATTTGGACCCTATTTGACAAATGGGGACAGAGACTCTTGCCGGGACGCCTTGGTCGTGCCAGGGCCAAATCTAGAAGACCTTCTTAGGCGTGTGAGTGTGATTTTTCCTGTGCTACCTCGAATCGCTCTGCACTCTGGTTGTCAGGTCTCCTTCTAAAGGAAAGTTCCACTTTAAACATAGTCGCTTTGGACTGCTCCAGTCGCCCGAGTCTAGACAGACCGCCGCAGCCTGCCTAGTCTTTCACTTTGCGCCTTGCTCGGTGTCACCCCAGGAACAATTTATTGGTCTAAAGCCGCCTAATTTCGCCTCTTTGATCTCCTAGCCTTCTTTTTGTTTGCTTCGTCTTCCTTCGGCTTTTTTTAGAATTTTACTTTTCTGTTAGAAGATGCTGTTATTTGGATTTTTCCCCTTCCTGTTTTATCCCCTGTTTCCCATCCTGATCCACCTTTGTAAAGGGGATCCCGGATATGGCCGCCCCAGGGTCCCTATGCTCTGGGGGAGATAACCCAGCTCCCACCTGCCCTCCTCCCCGCCAAAGCCTGGGCCCTTTCTAGGTAGGCGCTGGGGCTCCGTCGCAGCGGGGTTTGAACCATTCTTCCTCTTTTGTGATCCCAAGACCCCCTGAGAGGTTGCGGTGAACGGGGGGTGGGGGCAGCCTGGACCCACTGAAAGTGATAAGAAAGTGCTTTGTACACCAGGAACCAAACTCTATAATTTAGAGGAGAATTTCCGGGGCAATTCCATTGTGAAGTCGGGTTTATGATGTGCAATCCAGTTGAGCAGTAAAAGGTGGCCAGTCTTCCAGCACGGCCTGGGCAGTTTATGAGGCGTTTAGGGAAAGGGCTCACCCAAATATCCTCCAGAGAGCGTTGGGCAGCAGGGCCTTCATCTGACTTATCACTGCGTGGGAGTCTGAAGCCCCCCAAGGCAGGCCCCCGGGGTGAGTGACTGTTTGGGGGAGAGGGGAACGAGACTGTGCTTGTGAACCAGTGCTTAAGCGAAGCTGTAAGATCTGCATGACCCCTGTGAGGACTCTCTTATTTGCTTTTATAGTCTCCTAAAAAAACTGGGGTTCTATAGTGGGCTATAGCCTCAGTCCCTGATACTCCCCCTCTTTTCTCTCTAAATCAACTCTGAGTCTACTGCTCCTTGGCCCACAAGGTGGAGGTCCCGGAGTAGCTTGGCTGAGAGCTGCCAGAAACCTCCCAGTATGAAAGATGTGTGTAGAAAATTGTGGACCCGAATTTCCAAGCTGTCGGAGGATGACCCAGTTTCCCCGTGAGCCAGGCGTAGTACCAGGGGTTATGGGCAGGACAAAGGGGGTGTTGAGCCACCGACTGAATTGCTGCGGGCCAGCCAGGTGCCTGGGAGCGAATGCAGCCAGTCTGCCTGCATTCGCTCCTGTGCGGGAGGAGGAAAGGGAATCCCATGTTAATAAATCTGTTGGCAAATGAGGCTCATTAATAGATAAATATTTCACTGCTTCCTTTAGGGCGGATAAACAGTGCTCCGCAGATTAAAGAAAGGAAGCTGGGAGACATTGACTTTATTCGAACCACATGGCTCCAGTTTTGTGGCAGCATTCTGGCTGCTCAGCTAGAGGAGCCGGCCCACTGGAGCACTGGAGCATCAAACCCGGTCTCAAACGTTCTCCTGCTCAGAAAGAGAGGTGGGCAAAGAGATCTTCCTCTCAAGACCATCTTTGTGGGCCGACAGGTTGCAGAGACCCTGCAGGGGCCTGAGTCTGCAGAGTGGACGCGGACAGGGCAATCCACACACTGGATCTGGGGTTCAGGAATAGGTATGAGGTTGTGGGGGACGAACCCTGCCTGAACCAGGCTCAGGCGCCGGGATGGGGCTCGGACTGCGTCGGCGTCCCGGGCCGGCGGGGTGCAGGCCGCTGCGTGGGCCGCGTATTTGAGCCTCTTCCCCTTCCATTCTAGGCGGCCGCCGGCCCGTGGCGCGAGACCACCTGTGAGGGCTGCTGAGATTGGCGGAGGCGGTCATGTGGGCGGTCACGTGCCGCGGCGAGCTCCGTCCAAAAGAAAATGGGGTTTGGTGTAAATCTGGGGGTGTAATGTTATCATATATCACGCTACCTCGTAAAACCGACACTGAAAGCTGCCGGACAACAAATCACAGGTCAAAATTATGAGTTCTTCGTATTATGTGAACGCGCTTTTTAGCAAATATACGGCGGGGGCTTCTCTCTTCCAAAATGCCGAGCCGACTTCTTGCTCCTTTGCACCCAACTCGCAGAGAAGCGGCTACGGTCCAGGCGCCGGCGCCTTCGCCTCCACCGTGCCGGGCTTGTACAATGTCAACACCCCCCTCTATCAGAGCCCCTTCGCGTCTGGCTATGGCCTGGGCGCCGACGCCTACAACCTGCCCTGCGCCTCCTACGACCAAAACATCCCGGGGCTCTGCAGTGACCTCGCCAAAGGCGCCTGCGACAAGGCGGACGAGGGCGTGCTGCACGGCCCGGCCGAGGCCAGTTTCCGCATCTACCCCTGGATGCGCAGTTCAGGTAGGCGGCCTGGCCCGCAGGGTCGACTTGCGGGTGGAGCGGAGGGGCGGCGGGCGCGGGGCGCGGGGCGCGGGGCGCAGGGGACCGAGAGAGCCCAGCCTGACGGCTTCCAGCCGGCAGCCCCGCAAGTCCCGGTGGCGCTGCCTTTCTGGTTTTAATTAGAGCTGAGGCGCCATTGCGTGGAGAGACCCATAGCATTGTATGTAAATGAGGCTCATAAAACTTTTTATGGCCCAATTAATGGGTTCGATCCTCGTAAATTTATTTAACTCTATTTGCCTTGGAATTTTTACAGTAAGTTTCTCGCTATTCTCATAGTCTTTCTCTCCCCCTCCCTCTTTCTTTCTCTCCCTCCGTTTCTCTCCCTCAGTCTCTCTCCCCTATCCCCCCTCTTTTCCTGTTCTCCATTCCTTTCTTGATTGCAGCTGTCGCCACCTTTTCTTTCAGCCTAGCTTTCTTCCTCAAAGGCAAGGAGAGCCAGGACCTCCGGGACCCCATACCCACCCCGTGCCAGAGGCCATTTCCAGACCCTAGCCGGAGCAAACGGGACAGAGGGTGGGATTGCCACGGGAAGGGCCTGTGCTTGGCGCTGCCGAGGAGGGTTGCCCACTTTCTAGCAAGGCTGGGGAGCGGCTGGGCTTGCCTTTGAATGGTAAAAGTGCCACTCTCTATATTTACAATTTCCCTTTGTCAAGGGGAAGCAGGACATTGTAGAAGCGTAGCCGGCTGGAAAGACCGGTTGTAAAGTTGGAATCCTGCTCTAAGGCTCTTCACAGACAGGCCTGCCTGTCTGGCCCCGGGAGTCTTCCGCTCACACTTCTCCTCCCCCAGCTCAGCTGGGGGCGATGGGGTTTGCGCCTGGGTTTGTGCTGGGTGGAAGGTACAGGCTCTTGGACTGCGGACCTGACTAAAGCACTCTTCTGTCCACATCCCAGTCTGCTTGTCTGTTTGTCTATATGTCCAAATTTCTGCTCTCAGGACCCGACAGGAAGCGGGGACGCCAGACCTACACGCGCTACCAGACACTGGAGCTGGAGAAGGAGTTCCACTTCAACCGCTACCTGACTCGGCGCCGCCGCATCGAGATCGCTCACGCGCTCTGCCTCACCGAGCGCCAGATCAAGATCTGGTTCCAGAATCGGCGCATGAAGTGGAAGAAAGAGCATAAAGATGAGAGCCAGGCTCCCACTGCGGCCCCGGAAGACGCGGTGCCCTCCGTCTCCACGGCAGCTGCTGACAAGGCCGATGAGGAGGACGAGGAGGAAGAGGAGGAGGAAGAGGAGGAAGAGGAATAAAGGCCCAGGCCCAGGGCCCTGGCTGCACAGGACAGTCGGAAAAGCGTCTTTAAGAGACTCATTGATTGTAGTTACAAAAATGGGGGGGAATAAAGTGTAAAAAAAAAAAAAAGAGAAAGAGGGAATCAATCCCCACCCTCATCCCACCCACTCCATCACCCACTCTAGCTCCCAGGGGGAGATTAGGTCACCTTGGGGACCCTTTCTGCCTCTGAGGACCCCCAGTAGATACCCCCAACCCTGGGTCAGTGTTGTGCACTGGCACAGCCAAAATACTACCTAGCACAGGCCTCCTTGAGAGGCACCCCCAAACTACCTATGGTCCCGGTCCCAGGGGGCCACCACTCCTAAGAAGCTCCCTCTGCGTCCTAACAAGTGGCAGATACCCAGCACCCGCCCCTCCCCATCCCTGCAAATACATGATCAGTACTACCTACTAGGCCTAAACTACCTATTTCATGCTGGCCAGCTTTCCTGCTTCTCCGTGCCCGCTCTTCCCAGGCCAGGCCTTGGTGCTTCTAGCCGACAGTCTTTGGGGTCACCGAGGCTTCACTAACAAGGCAATGAGGTTCAGGGACCAGGGCATTGGCTTCTATTTAAATTGAAAAATAATATATTTATTCCAAAGCATACCAAATGCTGCATCGTAGAATCCCTCTTCCTCTGGCTTTGGTACCTGAAGTTCAGGGCCATTGCCCTTCCTTCTGGAGGGAAGCAGTCCTGATCTGGCTGCAGACCTCTGGAATAGCTTTGGCTTTGTGGGACTAAGGAGATGTTCCCAGCCTCACTGTCCCTTCCCTTGCTTCTGTGTCCTACTGTTCAGCCATGTCAGATATGTATACCCTGACTTTTCCTACCGAGGACAAATGCTGTATATTTGAACCAGATTGTTTTTGTCATTTCTATAATCTTGGAGCTCATTTGTAAAGGAATGTCTTGACTTGGGAAGATGTTTAATTGGGTGACTTTGTAGCATGGTGTGTTGTATTGAACCAATTCTGTAGCGGGTGAAAGAGATCCAATACCCACCCCGGTGCCCATTGTCTCCCTTGTTGTCCCATGTCCTCCTTAGACCCAGCCTGGGGTTCAGGGAAGGCATGCTTCCCGGCCCAGTTACCTATGTTTTATGTAACAATAAAGATGCTTGGTGACAAAGAAACATGGACTGCTTTATCCAGAGGGGCTGGGGCAAGGGGAGGTGGCCATAGCTTAAGGGCGAGCCCTGGCTCTAAGTCAAAGGACCATGGGGAAGCCAATGTGCAGAGACTGTCCTTGAGTCCAGATTTTAGATATTCATGCATAAATGTGTCATGTCTCTTTTTCCATGCTTTGTGTGTAGATTTACATGAATATGCGTGTTTCTACTTTTGTGCGTGGTTGCTGATAGTTTTCATAATTGTGTACATTTCCACATCCATAATGTGTGTATCTGTGTTGTGTGCTAACATTTTCCATGTCTATAATTGGATGTGTGAGTTTCTGTGTCCATAACTGCATGTTTTTCTATGTCTGCGCGCTCATTTTCTGCATCTATAATTATATATGTGCCTTCCTCTTTCGCAGATGTTTTGTCTGGCTATTGTGTGTGCACCAATATCTAGATCCATTGAAAAAAGCTATTAGTTAACACAGTCCATTCTACCTATGCCCCCCCAAACTTCCATAAATTCCAAGAACGAATTCCAAATTCAACCTTTCCTGTAAAGGTGTAGACTGAGCTCTGAAAGGGTATTACCTACCCTGCAACTGATTCCGGATTCCGTATGCTCCCTGGGTCCAGCCCCAGAGTAGGAAATGGGATTGGGGTCCTTGCCGCAGCACCCACACTAGCCTTTAGTAGAGGCGAAGATGCCCCAGGGCCCAATACTGCAGCGGAGGGGTTCTGGGATTGCCACAGGCCTCAGACCTGGCTGTGCAACCCAGGCAGGTCCTGTTGCTCAGGAGGGACTGTGCTGGGGAAGGGGTGAGTGGCAAGGAACCAGGGACGAGGAACCAGGGCTGTGGAAGTAGCATAGAGCATCCTGAGCATGGCCCGTGGAAGACCTCCCTTCTTATCTCCTGGCTGGGTTGAGCCAGCTTCTTGGGACTCTTTTTTTTTTTTTAATAAAAATTGGACCTAAAAGGGTCTGTAAAACCTGCAGCCCCAAGTTGGGACAGCCTCGGTGGTAAGATGGCGCCGGTGTAAGAGCTGCCTCCTCTTAGTGATGGGGAAAGGGTCATAAATCCGTTGTTGTTTATGAAAATTTACAACTTTGCAATACAACTTTATGAGTTGTTCGGCCCTACCATTGGCCGCTGTCGGTCATGTGGATAGGAACCGTGAACATGAACTTTTTTATAATTTCCCTTGTGAGAATAGAGCCCGCATTCTTTTGCTCCGCTCCGTCCTGCGTGCTTCGGAGCTCTGCCTTCCCAGCCTGCCTGGGCTGCGCTTTGTCCGGCGATGGCGAGCGAGGGGAAGCCGCTGCCAGGCCCAGGCCGGCCGCTGTCGCTGGAGGTGGGGCGCGTCCAGTTCCTGGAGCAGCAGCCGCCGCCGCTTTGCAACTCACAACCTGGCTAATTTCCTGCGTCCTCTGGCACCAGGAAGGAGGACAATTCGTCTCCTGGGCTGCCGAAGCGACAGCTGTCAGAGAGGCAGGAGCTTCTGGGAGCCGGGGTCTGAAGGTGAGACATGTGGGGAGGAGACAGGGCAAAGGTGGGTGAGATACCACAGTGATGGGGGAGGGCGCAGAACGACTTTGAGAAGGGGCATTTCTCACCACCGTCGGTACTACCCCTTCACACCCGGCCCCAACACGCAGCACCCCCCAAACATCACTCATCCGCACCCATCACTCCCTCAAGGCAGCTAGACCAGCCTTGTCTCTGTGGGCACAGTACCCTGGCACTGCACAGAGGGCTTAGGTCTTCCTTCCCCCTTCCCCACTGACCCCAGGGAGCCCGAAGGACAGTCATCTGGCACTCTGCTGTTCCCTATCAGCCTCTGGGGTTTGGGATTATTTCATTCGTGACCCAATTGATTCAAATGACTCCCCCCAGTAACCAGGGATGGTTTCCGGACCTGGGAACGTGTGCAGAGAGGAGAGCAAAGCGTGGTAACCCATAGGTGTTTTGTTAGCTTCAGCACACTGTTCTGTCCTGTGGGGCTAGTCTCGGAGAGAAGGGAGAATGGGATAAACAAGCAAACACAAAAGCAAAACTTACTAATTCGGGGTCCTCCGATGATTGCCCGCTTCATTTGCCCGGTTTTCCGACCAGAGTGATGACTGGAGCCCTGGGAAAGGGACTAGGTGCATGTGTGGAATTCTGTGTTGGAGGAGAGAATCGAATTAATTGGGTGTTACTGGGGGGATGTTTCGGTGCTGGGGACTGCTGTGTTGGCGCGTGTGGAAGGACCGCATCTAAGGTTTATGAAGGAAGGTTGCAAAACGGAGTCTGAGAAATAACGGGATGGCAGTCGCAGGCCACCTAAGGTCAGTGGCAGCCTGAGGTCCCCTACCTCCCAAGCCACAAGGAGAGGACTACAGCTAGCCACGAGGCGGCACTGAATGCTGCTGGCCTGGCTGTAGCTTTGCATTACGCGGTGGTACCCGCCATGGTGGCTGGGCCTGAAAGGGCATCTGACCAGGTCAGATTTGCCCCCCCCCCCAGACAGTCACTAGAGAATCATTAGCAAGGTTCTGAGCTATAGTTCTTTTTGTTTATTTGGGTTTTGGTGGTTGTTGTTGTTTTCCTATCTGAAGACAGTATCTCGGCAAAGGCCAGACAATTAAGAAGGACGCGTTGGTATTTAGGGTGCTTGCTGGACGACGCTGTGGGTGCGCCCCGGGCAGGGGCAGATAAAGCACCGCATTTGCCTCCTAGGGCCGCTGGCTGCCTGACTGTAGCTGCCTCGGGCAGATTATTTATTGCGAGCGTGCTGGGAGCTCGCTGCTGCCACGCTGTGGCCGTCACCGGGACCGGCGCCAGCAGCGGCCCGCCTCTTCGAGCCTGGCGCGACTGCTGTACGGGCCCCTCAGAGATTCCCCAGAAGCAGGGGAAGGGGAGGGGGGACAAAGGGGGACATCGGGGGCAGTCTCCCAGGGTCTGTTTGGCTGTGAAACCTCCCTGCTTCGGCTACCCACAATAGAAACCTCAGCCGCCGGAATAGACTCGGGTCCTTCCCTCGTCCCCAACCAGCACCATGGAGACTGGTTGTACAGGCCGCCTGGCCGGTCGTGGCCGCTTCAGTCCAAAATACGCGTCCCAAAGACGCCCTGGGGGCGCACGCCATTTGCCAGTTGGGGAACGCGTTGGCTTTGAGATTCTGACATCGGAGACACCAATTGTAGTTCTGAGGCCTGCTGGCCTGGCCGGCCCTGAGAATTGGCTATGGCACGGAAGGCTGCTCTTGGAGAGGGCCTGTGACTGGCAGAGGCCACACCTGTGTGCTTTGGGTTCTTGGCTAGAGATTTGGCTGAATGGAGATGGACCTTCGGGGTCCTGCCACGCAACTACAGGCCCGGCTCCAGGCAGGCCGAAGTGGAGGGGCTCAATGGGCAGCCCAGGGCAAGGGCAAACTGTGCGACACTACTGCCAGCCTGCCCTTTGAAGAGAAGATGAAAGGTAAGTTTTCCTGGTGACTGTGACCTAGCAGAGAGTCCTAGGGTGGTCACTCTCATCACCTCAGGAGAGGCAGTACTGAAGGTGTGCAGTTCCTGTTCACCACTCAGTGAATCAGTCAGGAGTGACTCTCTTTCCATTTGTAGTATGTATTTTGTATGTATGTCTGTCTGTTTGTATATACATATATATGGAAGAATGAACAGATCGACCGTCAACTTAAATATGCACTAACCTTGTCTTACAGTAAAGATTTCAATTTAATTTTTTTCTCTCTTAATCTTTACAAAAGCTGGAAATACATTTTCTGGCTCTTAGCTGAGAAATCAAATCCTCTTACTGGCTGAGACAATTAAGTCTAGAATCCAGGACAAAACATAACAATAATAGTGGTAAACTGTCACCAGCTTCAAGCCTGTGCAGGACATGGAAGAATGGAAGAGAAATGATAAATGTAAACAATTAACACCTGCAAAGTGGCGATTTTCACTTCAAATAATATTGGTTGAAATAATTGTTGTCTGATTTTTTTGAAGAACCAATAGCTCAAACTTATTTTATTCAAACAGCTTTTTAAGAAAAAAGTCTCCCATTTTTTTCTATTGAGGTTGCATTACATCTTGTCTGTGGAAAACGCTAAATTTTATCCTCTCCTGGATAACTCTTGGTTTTAAGGAAAGAAAAAAAAACTTTCTTGGGTTGGGGAGATACAGACTTAGGCACAAGGTTTCTAGCACAGCCTTCCTTCTGTGTGCCTTCAGAGACTCTCTGGGGGCCGGCCTCAGGCCAGCCATTTTCCAGTTTTTCCCTTTTTCGGGGGAGGAAGGACAGGGAAAAATTAGAAAAGCAAAGAAGAGATTAAGGAAGTCCTTACCAGATTCCTACAGGACCATTACCAATTGTCACCTAGCCCCAAACCCTAACCCCATCAGTCAGCATGGGCCAGCAAGGGTTTTACAGATCTTGCAAACAACCTCCACAGTTTCAACCAAATCTCGTAAATAGTCTCTCTGCCATCCACAGAACTGGGATTTTTAAAGCTGATTCAAGAGCTTTTACAAGCCCTACAACACAGTCGTGAAAATGCCATGGAACCAATATCATGCTTTACAAAACGAGACAGATCCTTGTGCAAGCAAGTCCAAGGCAGGCTTTCCACGGCCAAGCTGGGGATCGCCAGGCCTGGGCCAGTGGTCAAGGCAATTCTGGATTCTGTAGCTAGTGACAGGGTGACAGGACTATTCTAGTTTTGCAGCTACTGCAGCAGAAGGAATATTTTAGGGGTGAGGACAAGTGGGTATACCCCCACAACCATAATATGTACATCAATGTACTACCAGAAAACCAAGCCCATTAGTTATCCTATGCGAAGTCTGGGGCCTCATGAGCTGTCCTGCTCATGGGGGGGGGGGTTGCTGCACCTCTCTTGCTTCTGGAAGGAGACTAGGGAGAGATTGCATCTGGAGTCTTATCTGCTACTGCTCTGAGCAGTTCTAGTAGCTTCGGGGAGTCTTGGGAAGCTGGGTGAGGGGAGGTAAATCCCATGGCTGGCTTCCTAGTCCGGTATCACAAGCACCTCTGTGGATCATTTCTTGTTGAAACCATGGGTTTTTAGCCTTTCCTTTCTCTGGGTTCAAAGACAGGACGCTGTGCACAGCCGGGTTAAGCCCACACAGGCACAGGCCGTGCGAGGCGAGTCAAGCAAGGAGTGAGGTAGGAGGAAGGGGCTGCAGGAAGGCCCTGCCTTCGGCCTGGGCCTGGCCAGCGAGGAATGGGTGATATTTCAGCTTTTGGCAGTAAGGCCCAACCTGCAGTAAGAATGGGAAAGGATAAGGCGTTCACGGATCTCTAAAGCATGGGGCTAAAAAAAAAAAAAAAAAAAAAAAAAAAAAAGCAGAGTGTAAAGGCTTGGCTTCTCAGAGGCGACTTTCCAGCTCAAGAACCCACACCCATGATTAAGGGAGCACTAGGGGAGGGGCAACTCAGGACCTGCTTGGGACAGCGTGCTCTCAAGAGCAAAGCCTTTTTAGTCACCGCCCCTTCTGGCTCAAGCTTGTCAGGTTTCCTGTTTGGAGGGGAAAAGCAGCAAAAACCAGCAAGGCAAAAAGGGAAAGAGGAAAGAGTAGGCCTGCTGGGGCCTTCTCATTGACCTGGGCACTAGTGTCTCTACACGCCTCTGATCTGCACATCCCTGCCCGGGCCGTGCCCGCCGCTGGCGTCTGGGGGTGTGTGGGGGAGAGCGGGGGCCTGGCTGGTTGTGTGCGCCCATTAATCTGCCGGGCGGGCGGCGGGCGGGCGGGCTGGGGGCTGTTTGTAACTTTGCTGCCTCGGTCGCCGCGGTCCCCGGGGAGCGGGCTCCGGCGCTCGCTCCCATTGGCCGCCGCTGCGTCAGCTGGTGCGATTTGCTGCTGTCGCTTTTGGCGTTCGGCCATCCAGAAACAAACCAGTTCGATGACTACTAATAGTTATAGCCAGATGTACTAATACACAACAAATCACAGTCCTGCAGAGGGGCGCGCAAATGAGTTCCTATTTTGTGAATCCCACTTTCCCTGGGAGCCTGCCCAGCGGCCAGGACTCCTTCTTGGGCCAGCTACCCCTCTACCCGGCCGGCTATGACGCGCTGAGGCCCTTCCCGGCCTCTTATGGGGCGTCGAGTCTTCCGGACAAGACGTACACTTCACCTTGTTTCTACCAACAGTCCAACTCGGTCCTGGCCTGCAACCGGGCATCCTACGAGTACGGGGCCTCGTGTTTCTATTCTGATAAGGACCTCAGTGGCGCCTCACCCTCGGGCAATAGCAAGCAGAGGGGCCCCGGGGACTACCTGCACTTTTCTCCCGAGCAGCAGTACAAACCCGACAGCAGCAGCGTTCAGGGCAAAGCCCTCCATGAGGAAGGCACCGACCGGAAGTACACGAGTCCTGTTTACCCCTGGATGCAGCGGATGAATTCCTGTGCGGGTAAGGCATTTCCCTGCTCCCCCACCTCAGAGAGTGTAGGGAGAAGGAAAAAGCTGGTAGACAGGCAGACAAGGAAGGAAGGAAGGAAGGAAGGAAATAGGAAGAAGGAAAGGATGAACAAAGTTTCCTCCTCTCTCTCTCTTTTTTCTTTCAAGGGAATTTTTAAAAAGAAAAAACCCAAACATTGCCCCCAGTGGGGTAATCAGGCCCAGACAGAGGAAAGACTGGGCTATGAGATCATGTAAGGGGACACTTTAGGGGAGGGTGAAGGATTCACTGCCAAGTTATGTGAGACCTGTATCAGGGCAACAAAAGAGGAAGGGAAGTTGAGACTAGGAGGCCAGGAAGCGGCTCAGCTGTGCCCCTGTAACACCCCTCAGGCTTCCAAGCAAAGGTGGCCTCCAGAAGACACCATGGACAAACTCCTTCACACTCCCACCCCTTTCTTCTGCCCTTCCAAAGCCCAGACAGGCAGAGGCCCTCTTCCTCATTTGACCTTTCAGTGTCTCTACCAAAGCTATGGAGCTATGGAGGGTCACCTCCTCAGAGTATGCATGGTCTCTCTCTCTCTGTCTCCTCTCTCTCTTCTGTCTCTGTCTCTCTCTGTGTCTCTATCTCTCTGTCTCTTCTCTCTCTCCCCCCTCTCTGTCTCCTCCTCCCTCTCTCTCTGTCTCCCTCTCTTTGTCTCTTTCTCTCTTTGTCTCTGTCTCTGTCTCTGTCTCTCTCTCTCAGTCTCTCCCTCTCCCTCTCTCCTTCCTCCCACTTTTACCTTCCATTCAACTTCACACGTTTAGCCAACTTCTATCTCCTCCCGAGACCCTGCCTGAACCTCACACCTAGCTTGGGTGCCCCTGGCACCCAGACAGCCCAACACAGTCAGCACTACCAGAACCCCATGTCACCTACAGGACCATCTCTTAACCCCAGGTTTTCAAAGATTCCACAGGGAGTCCCCTTGCCCCTTGCAGCAGGACAGAGCCTAATGGGACTTTAACACTTACAGCACTGTTGCTTTAAACCCCCCACTCCCAGTGGAGAGTGTTCAGATGAGTCACACAACTTGCTGGCCATATTCAAGTTTCCAAAAATACATTGAGATCTGACACAAGGAGCCTCCTTAGCATCTTTCACAGACATCAAATGTGAGAATTCGGTTTCCATGCTACTCCCAGATCCCTATTCCACCTACAGACAAATAAATGTTACCTTCCCTTGAAACAGTGACTTTGACCCCCTCAAATTAAGAATGTCCATACTATTTCTTTGCTTCTAATGGTTTTCTCGCAAACCACATTTGTCAAAAGCAATAACTTCCCATCCCTAGTCGTTTTTAGGTGAAAAACTTCTCGCTTGGTATGAAACCACCTTTGCCACCCGGCCGACTTTTTGCCCTCGGCTGTGGTGCCAGACGCTATGTTGGAAGTAGGGTGGTTTCAAGCTAGAGACTGCTGGCGGGAGGCACTTGGAGTGGATTCGTTTGGCCTCGCTTACCCGCACCGCATGTCTGCCTGCAGGTGCTGTGTATGGAAGTCACGGGCGCAGAGGCCGCCAGACCTACACGCGCTACCAGACACTGGAGCTGGAGAAGGAATTCCACTTCAACCGCTACCTGACTCGGCGCCGCCGCATCGAGATCGCCAACGCGCTCTGCCTCACCGAGCGCCAGATCAAGATCTGGTTCCAGAATCGGCGCATGAAGTGGAAAAAGGAAAATAAACTCATCAATTCCACACAGCCCAGCGGGGAAGACTCTGAGGCCAAAGCGGGCGAATAGACTCCAGGGCAGGAGGGACCAGGCCAGTGTCCTAACCTCTATTGGCTTTGCCCCTTGGTGCCTCTGCCTGCTCCCTAAGTTTTCTTCCAGCCTGCTCCCACCCGGGTGCTTCCGCAGCCTAGGGAAATCCAAAGCTTTGCAAGCGTCTGCCCATTTACTTATTACAGAAAACAAACAAAAGCTTACACACCCAATGTCAGCTATGGGACAGATGCACTGTACACACACACACAGGTTCTCTCCCCAAAGCTGCTCGAACCAGCCGGGGAGTCCCGGGGTGCACCCAGAATTGGCCCTGCTGCTGTATTAGCGACACTGCGCTCCCTGAGCTACAGACACGGGGTTGTTGGGGGAAAGAAAGAGCCCCAGGCAATGCCCGCTTTGGTGTCTGTGTTTTTCCGCCTTGGTCTCTCGCCATCAAATCTTGAAGGGTATTGCCAAATCGGCTCTGGAAAGAAAGGGCCTACGAGCTGGGCCCCAGCTCTGTCGCAGCCTCTCAGGATGCCCCTAAACAAGAAGCTGGAGGAACAAAGGGGAACTCCCCTCTTCCCCGACAGAACCAAGTCTTTCTGCCGACGCATAACCGTCAATGGGAGAACTGCAGCTTCAGCCGAGGCGAGCCAACCTGGGCGGGAGTGGAACAGTACAGCCTCTCCAGCGACTAGGCTCTCCGCAGGCTCCCAGCTCCCGATCCCCACTCCCTGTCTCGTACAGCGCGGGCGCTGCCACCTAGAAGCTCTCAGGACCCAAAGAGGGGACCCAGGACCACGGGAGCCAAAAGAGTCCTAGCTTCCAACCTTCCAACCGTGCCAAGGACGCCTGAGATGCCAGGCCTCTAGTGGGGAGAGTCTGATTGCCTCTCAGTTACATTTGTGATTTACTTTGGTCTTTCTCGGAGCCTAGGAAAATAACTACGGAGATACTAGGCAGGCACTGCCACGAAATGATTCCATTAGTTCCCGCAATTTATTCCTGGATGTGTAAGCAAGACCCCAATAGCTCTACCCACGGATCCCAGCTTTAAAACAGCCTCAGAAGCTGCAGAGAGTCAGGGCCCGCTCTCTGGGTTCACCAAGAACCTTGCTACCTGGGGCCCGGCTGGCCGGAGGAACCGGACCAGGGATGAAGATATTCCGGGCTGGATAAATAATCAAATCAGATAACAAACTAATGACACGAAAAACATTTACACAGAAGAAAAATCGACTCTGGTTATACAAGTATATGGAATTTGACCTCGCCTCGGAGAAACTCTACACAAAAGCTGTCTTTAATAGACGCCTGTCGTTTAAGAGCGGCAGGGACACTGTCCTTCACGCGCTCACAAAAACAGAGCCGTAATTGTGGCTGCTGCTGTGGGAAGGATTTATTTCTTCAATTGGCTAAATGGTCTTCCCTTCCCCGAAGGTGATATCTGTATTTTCAAAATTCACAGCTGCGGGCCGGACGGGCAGAACCGACCCCAACCTCTACACAAAAATAAGAGGGTCTACAAAGCCAGGGAAATAAAGTTGTTGTAAATAATTCCAAGTCACCACCTCCCCCTAATCCTCTGTATCCTCGCCGGGCGTGCGATCGGCAGCTGACGGCCTCACAATTGGTACATCCTAATGGAACTGCGAGGGAAATGCAATAATTTTGCCATAATGGGCTGTAACCTCAATTCGACCCCGGCCCTTGCAGCCGGAGGTCGGAAGCGATGTGATGCTCCCTGCCTCCAGAGGGTGGCGCTCGAGTCCGACTGAACGGCGGCGGCGGGTGGCGGGCACGCGCCCGGGGTGCGCGCGCCACCCCTCTCGCCTCCACCCAACTCCCCCATTAGTGCACGAGTTTACCTCTAGAGGTCATCAGGCAGGATTTACGACTGGACAACAAAAGCACGTGATTCGAAGTCGTACCCCATATTTGGGTGCCTACGTAGGAGGGAACCGAGTACATGTCCCAGTCATTTCCATAATTCATCATAAATTGTGCAAGGGTGCTATAGACGCACAAACGACCGCGAGCCACAAATCAAGCACACATATCAAAAAACAAATGAGCTCTTATTTTGTAAACTCATTTTGCGGTCGCTATCCAAATGGCCCGGACTACCAGTTGCATAATTATGGAGATCATAGTTCCGTGAGCGAACAATTCAGGGACTCGGCGAGCATGCACTCCGGCAGGTACGGCTACGGCTACAATGGCATGGATCTCAGCGTCGGCCGTTCGGGCTCCGGCCACTTTGGCTCTGGCGAACGCGCCCGCAGCTACGCGGCCGGGGCCAGTGCGGCGCCCGCCGAGCCCAGGTACAGCCAGCCGGCCACATCCACGCACTCGCCTCCGCCCGACCCGCTGCCCTGCTCCGCGGTGGCCCCCTCGCCCGGCAGCGACAGCCACCACGGCGGGAAAAACTCCCTGGGCAACTCCAGCGGCGCCTCGGCCAACGCCGGCAGCACCCACATCAACAGCAGAGAGGGGGTTGGCACGGCGTCCGCCACCGAGGAGGACACCCCTGCCAGCAGCGAGCAGGCGAGCGCCCAGAGCGAGCCGAGCCCGGCGCCACCAGCTCAGCCCCAGATCTACCCGTGGATGCGCAAGCTGCACATTAGTCACGGTAAAGCCAGCCGTTTTCTGATCCACGCGTCCGTGGGGGCGCGGGTCTCGGTCACCCTCTGTTCTTTGCAGCCTCTCTCCGGGTCTCCTAGTCTCGCCTCTCTCCAGCCTGCAGAGCCTCTCCCTGCGGTTCTCCTTTCCCTGCCTTCCTCTTTACTTCCTCCCCATTACTGCAGCAGCAGCATCCTGTATTCGCAAATACTGGGGGTGGGGGTGGGGGAATGGGGGTAAACGAGCAAGTTTAGATGTTGTTGAAAGAGGAAGAAATTCCATCTGGAATCCCAGTGCCTCGGAGAGCGCTTAAGGGTCAGGCCAGCCGAGCAGGGCTTGGAGAGAGGTAGGGATGGTAGTACGGCCGTGAGTCGGGCTTGTCAGGGTGGATAATTTATGAGAAGGGCTACGCTGTGGGGGAAACAGCGTTACTAATTAGAGCCCCTAAAAGGGGCTTGGGGGGGGAATGATCCAGGCGAGAGCGGGCGAGATTCTCAAGTTTGGGGGCAAGAGAAAGAGGGAAGGAAAAGGGGGAAAAAGAAAGTGGGCGCCCCAAGCGTACAGGCTGGAACAGGAGGCGGCTAGGGCGGCTGGAACTTTAACGGAGGGTGACCTGGAGGCCACTTGGGAACTCAGAAAAAGACAGTGCTTTGGTGCGGTGGGCAGCCAGAGAGGACAGTGCCCCTGCTTATGACAGCTGGTGAAGGGGCAAAGAGCAGAATGGGGGCGAGGGAGAGCCAGGCTGTCCTTGAAGACAGGGCTCCAGCCTCAGGTGGGCCGGTCGTTCCCAGAGCCCAAATCCTGTTGTTTTTCTCTTCAGAAAGGAAAGGAAATTCGGAAAGGGTGGGTGGGTGGGGAGGACTTGTTGAGCCTCTTCCCCAGTTCAGGACCCTGGCTGACTCTTGGAACCAGGTGCTGAGGAGTTAGTTGGTGGCTAAACCGCTGACTTTTCTGTTGCAGACAACATAGGTGGCCCAGAAGGCAAGAGGGCCCGGACGGCCTACACGCGCTACCAGACCCTGGAGCTGGAGAAGGAGTTCCACTTTAACCGCTACCTGACCCGCCGAAGAAGGATTGAAATAGCACACGCTCTCTGCCTCTCCGAGAGACAAATTAAAATCTGGTTCCAAAACCGGAGAATGAAGTGGAAAAAAGATAATAAGCTGAAAAGCATGAGCATGGCCGCGGCGGCGGGAGGGGGCCTTCCGCCCCTGAGTATCGGGGCGCTTAAAAAGTACTGAGCAGTATTAGCGGAGCGCCCCGTAGTGCCAGTACTAAGGTGACTTTCTGAAACTCCCCCCTGTGTTCCTTCTGTGAAGAAGCCCTGTTCTCCTTGCCCTAATTCATCTTTTAATCATGAGCCTGTTTATTGCCATTATAGCGCCTGTATAAGTAGATCTGCTTCTGTTCATCTCTTTGTCCTGAATGGCTTTGTCTTGAAAAAAAAAAATAGATGTTTTAACTTATTTATATGAAGCAAGCTGTGTTACTTGAAGTAACTAAAACAAAAAAAGAGAAAAAAAACCACACAAAAAGCCCCCCACCTCGTGTAGTGCCAATGTTGTGTGTTGCACTTGAGTTGTTTAACGTGCATGTGCGTGCAAGTGTTCCTGTCTCAATAGCTCCAAGCTGTTAAAGATATTTTTATTCAGACTACCTATATTCCTTGTGTAATTAATGCTGTTGTAGAGGTGACTTGATGAGACACAACTTAACTTGTTCAACGTGTAGTGGCTAGTGACTGTGACGAAAACTGTGACTCCAAGCCGTGTGTCCCTGCGTGCCTTTGTAGGACCCTTTGCACGAACTCTGGAAGTGGCTCTTATAAGCGCAGCTTCAGTGATGTATGTTTTTGTGAACAAAGTTACAAATATTGTCCAAGTCTGGCTGTTTAAGCAAACTGTGATCAGCTTTTTTTTTTTGTATTTGTTTTTAAGGGAAAAATACTGACTGGAAACAAAAAATAAACTTTCTATTGTAAGTTCTCTTGGTCTGATTTGTGCCCAATAGCAAGCGCCTCTTTCTGCTTTCCATCTGCAGTGCTGGGAGCTGCTGAGTCTGAGGCTACCTGGGCAGTCTGTCTATTCATGGTGGTCTCCCACCAACACCTTGACTCAGAGCCTTCCTAATTCTGACCCGCCAGAAAATTCAGGCCAGAAGGAGGTGGGAGAAGCTGTAGGAGGTTCCAAAGCCTGAGTCCACCCTGCCCACCTCTGAGGAAACCAAGTTAACTTAGTGTGTACCAAACAGGAGAGGAAGAGAGGAGAGAGAAAAGCCAGGTTTTGTCAGCTGCACTCAGGCCCACACAGACCCTTCACCCCCAAGGCTGTCCTAGGCCTTGCTGAAGGGGATTCTCTGTCTACCCACTAACCCACCCCAGGACCCCTTCTCCACTCCTCTCTTAGCCCAGTTGGCTTCTTTTGCTACAATTAATTTGCTACAAATGGAAAGTACTTACCCCATCCTAGCTCCATTGGGAAACTCCTCAGAGCAGCTGAAGCAGAGCAACTAGAGATTTGCACATTTACCGGCTGCTTACACGGATGCCGTCTTTCCTTTTAAAAGTTATAAAACAGTAAACTTTATAAGCCCCAGTTCCGGCTATATGACATTTGGGTGCCAAATGAATAGGGTTTTGTCTATGAATTAGATCGTAAAATCATCCATAGCACAGACAGATCGGCTCACTGGCTATAAAACGTCACGTGGGGCCATTAAAGTAAGTTTTATGGTTTTGGGGAGTTGACATCCAACATTATATACCACATAACATATAATCTCACTAACGCTGGACTCCATTTGACTCTTTTGCAGGCTACGTGTGCTGCCTGGTCATTCAAATTGTCAATTTTAGGTTGAGAAGTGTCCAAACCACAAGTTCTCAAAACTCTCTGAAAAATGGCTCCCTCCAAGTTAAGGTAAGCTCTCCTCTTGAGTTTATTTGCACTGTGAAAAGTTTCTTGCTCTTCCTTCTCTCTGGCTCAGTAATGCTGAAGCTGTCTCTGAATTCAAAATGGGAGAACAAACTTTTTTCCTCTGCCCAAATTAGCAAAGCCAGAGGTAGCTCTGAGGAGGCCGCATGCACGGTGAACAGCCGCTGAGGCCGAGCCGCATCCAAGGCCTAACTTTAATTGCTGCACAATCGTGGATGTTAATGACTTCCGCTGCTCTGCCGGCGTGCAAAAAGATGGTTTTGTGTGTGTGTGAGAATGGGTCTATGTGTGAAAACTTAGCAGCCTCTGCCCATCTTTATAAGCTTGGCCAGGTTCAGGCTTTTGGGGGTCACAGAGCTCTGGGATGGGGAACTGGGAGTTGAAGGGGCCCCGGACTCTGGAGTAGAGGGCTGAACTGAACTGAACTGGAGAGTTTGAAAGAAAGGCCCAGGCAGGGCCGAGGCCGACTGTGGCGGGATTCCTTAAGGGGCTTTGGCAATATGTCTTCGCGGTCCAGGGTCATTTGGCAGGACTGAATTGAGGCAGCGGCCTTCGGGGCTGCGTTTCAGACTGGCTGGAGCAAGTGGAAGCTGGCTGGGGCCTGGTGGCAGAGACCAGGTTGCTGGGGGCAGCGGGTCCCCACCTAGGAGGTAGGGGGTACTCAGCTTCCCTGCACCGGGCCAGGCCCTGAACCCTGCTCCTCAGTTCTTTTCATTCCCTGGCAGTGTTCTCACCCGCCTGCGAGTCTGAAGCAATAAACTTTATGGCCGGATTTAACTGTAGTCTTTGAATCCTCAGGCTAATTGAACGGGGTTAAAGCGCTTTCTTTTCTTCCGCTTGCCTTTCTTCTGCCTCCCTTCTTTCCTTTTCCTCCATCTCTTTGTAGGAGTAAGACATCAATGTTCAGGGCCCTCGAAAGGCAACTTAAGTGGTTCCCTAGATAACACTAAAGATGGAGAAACGTACTCCTCTTCAACATACAGACAAATTCTCCCTTCCGAAACTGTGCCTA